GTTTACGGACGCAGAATTATTATTTTCTTGAACTCCACTAATCCTTCTCTCGATAATCCGTACGTCTTGGATGTTACTTCACTCTACTTCTCCAGAGGTTCGATAGGAGGCACTTATCTATGGATATCAACGGCATGCAGTTATCGAGTCCTTTCTTAACTGCTGTTGCGAGTAGCATTTCAAAGTTGGGTACATATTATGGTTTAAATAACTTTCATTTATAATTAAATATGATTTTGTTTTAAAAATTTTTTAGGAAAAATCGTGTCACTATCAAATGTTTATTTTTTCAAAATAATGTCAGAAATACATAGTAAATTTGTTTAGAACAGAGTCCGATTTGGTTTTAATTTTTGCTGATGAATAAAGAATATTTATTATAGAATTTATTATCGTTTTTGTTTCTTGCTCATATTTGTTCCATCTTTTAGTATCTGTACATTTTTTCAAGTAACATCGGTTTGCACCCACAATGTGGGAATGTTAGAGATGTAAATACGAGATGTAATATAGAATAATATGGAGATAATGTAATATAGAAGCACGTTAGGTGAACGTTGAGCGTGGCAGCATTTATTTAAAGCATTTGCTTTCGAAAACGAATTCCAACGCATCCGAAACACGAAAAACCTTTTTAATATTACAAGAAGTTGCGGAGTTTTGAACATAGTGATATCGAATATAAATTTTTGTTTTAGAGAGATTTTAAAACGAACAAAATGTCGTCAAGATGATCTTAAACATTTGAAGAAATTAAACTGCAAATATCCATTATCGGACTATTAAGGTTAAATAATCGGGTTGATTGAAATTAAGGTGCTTCAAATCAAATTTTAAATCTCGTTAGAAGACACTAGCCAATTCTGTTGCTGGAAGAAAATCGGAATTGGCTAAATACACTAGTCATCATCTTCGATTCCCGTAATTTCTTTTGAATCAAGTTCCGAGTGAACAAAACCACAAAAAATCAAAATATTAAGAGAATTCCTGTCTGACGCTGCATTAGGATAAGTTACGTCACCCAAACAAGTTTACGAACATCGGGAAAATGTGTAATGTGTATGGTGAGAACCTCATGAGCACAGACTATTCCTTAATGTAATGGACAGTTTAAAACTTTGTTGTTTTATATTATTGTCGAAATATCTAATCAGAAATTTGACTGATTTTATGAATCGATTCCGAGTTTCTGTGATTTAATGCAACTTCGAAGCTTCGTTGTATCACTGTGAGCCGTCATAATTCTGAAATTAATCGGTTGAAGATTGTTTCTCTGTTTTGATACAGATATTTAATAACGTAAATAACTTTATAATTAGTTTACATATTTGATCCTTAAGAGATTCTCTTGCCAGATGGTGTATCGTTATAACTAAGATAATATTATTTCTAATTATGAGCTTTAAAAGATATGATAATTTTTGCCAAGAGAAATCCTGATTACGATCTCTTACGCGATTCATCTGATAAGTGCTTTTGTCGTATAACAAATAGGTAAAGGAGGGAAAGGCTGTATATAAATTAGTTCATCATATATTTTATTGGGACTGTATTTTAGAAAAGTTGCGTTATACAGCATATATCATTTCTTAATTTCATTGTCAGAATGTAGGAATTATGAAAATAGGGTTTTCAGTTGAGATTTCTGGCTAGCTACCGATTATTACAGATTTTAATTTCTAACAAGTGCAATGTTGTTTCTAAAGAATGAAAATTCGCGTTTTATTCTATAATAAGCAACTTAATAAAGAAATATTAACTTCTGTATTTTTTAGCAAAATATAAATTTAATTAAATGTATTATTTATATTAGACAGTATATTTATGTTTGGAGTAATAAGCTCTACTTGAAAGATTTTTATATTTTCTACTGTTGAAATAATAATACATCTACTGTAAATAGGCAAATATTCATTTTAAATATTTTCATAAACTTAGTTAAAGAAAACTAAATACAGTATATTTTCTATGATATAATCGACTCTTTTTACTCGAATATCAGGAGCAATGAAGAAAATTTTGAATCATCCGTTTTTGAAAATTAAACTCCAATCAATAAGAAATATTGCCTTATTGATTGTGTGGCAATATTCCTTATTGATTGGCGATATCACAATTTTTCTTTTCTTTTCCACTTCTTTAATCGTGCCCACCAGTGGCCAAGCTGTCTTCGTACCCTGAATACTGGGGGTTTGCTCGTGGGTTCGCCCCTCGCTCGGACAGGCTGGCCGTGTGGAGTTTTCTCCACGTCTATAACGCCTACAATAGGAGCCAATTTCCCTTAAAAAGACCTCCTTAAAGGCATTCCCCTAGGCAGATCGCCCAAGTATTGCGTTGCCATAACTTAACAAACAAACTTCTTTAATAACTCAAACTTTCCAAGCTAAATGCAAAAACTACATTTCACGTTCCTTGACATCGTGAAACACAGCTTAACTTTTCTTTTACTCTTTCTGCCCCGGGTACTAAGAGGACTTTGTTCCATATCATACTGGAATTCGACCAGTCCCGCAATGGAGACGATCGAATAGTGAGAGCCTAATATATCTGTGAAAGCGCTCGTGAAAATTTTTTTCAGGTTTGTCCGGATTCGTTTCCAGGGATTACGCCTTAACCGCATCGGTCATCCAACCGTCGAGTCGGCTGAAGAATTCCGATATATTTAGACCCAAATTGTATAAGGGTTATTTTTTTCCAACCTCCACTAACGCATGAAAAAAATTGGAAGCATGTGAGACAGGGACAGGATGCACATCTAGTAAGTAGTATATTCCCTCACCACTTAGCGTTGTGCCAAGCTATTTTACACATTTGCTACTCTGTAGTAAACACGTAAACATTCACGATTTCTGAGCTCAGTGAGGAATTTCCTCAAATTTCACGGTCCACACTGTATACCGCTGACTGACAGTGTTAAAGATTGGTTGAATGGCCTGGAGGCAACGTTCTTCGACACGAGTATACAAAAGCTGGTGTCACAGTATGATGTCTGCCTGAAACGACAAGGCAATTATGTGGAAAAATAGGTGAAGACTGTAACTATCTTCTACAAATAAAGTGGTTTTGTTCTTCATTCTTGTTTTTTTTTATTCTGGGTCGGTGGAGGTTGAAAAAATAACCCTCGTAAAACACGTGACATTTTCGAGAATCGCCGAAACGCACGCATCCTAGAAAATAGTAGATTGCATGCTACACTCTCTTTTCAAGAGTTATGTTCGAAATATGGAATTTACTGGCTTTGAATTATTCCTATTTATATTAAAAGATTCGAATTCGCCACATTCGTTGACACTAATCGAAATAAGAATTCACAGTAATAAATTAGACAACAAGGACAAACCTCAGAAACGGAAAACGAACCGAAAATTATAACAAAAGACAAAAAGAAACGATAAAACGAACGGAGAACGATCGTAAATTGCACAGTTGCTTTTCAATTATTTAAATTTTCCTCTTCTTTCTTTTCCAGCATTACTACTATGCGTACTCGGCGTAAGTAAATTAGTAGTAAATTAACAAATTAATCAGATTCGTATTTCCTTGAACCCAACCTTCAAACTACCAAAATAATTTTTAATACAGTAGATCCTTGTTAAGAAGTTTTTGAAGGGATCACTTCTTCGGTGGGTAAACTTCTTTTGCAGGAATTGAATATACAAATAAAAATTTATTTTTTATTTGTATATTCAATTTTATTCTAATATCAATGTAATATAACATAGCATAATGTAACATAGTAGAATAGTAAGATGCACTGTACAGTACCTGACTATAGCAGGTGCTTGTCGATATGACATGTTAACTGTTAATGGACAGCACCGGATAGGAAATATGGTCAAAACAATAAAACCCCAGCAAAATTAGCGACCACCTCAGGTGTGCAGATGTTTGTGAATATCTAGAACTATTTTATTAAAACGACCATTTTTATAAGTGAGAAAGTTATAGTGAGGGGAAAAAAATTACAGTTTGTCTCCAATTAAGTAGGTAAAATATCGCTGATGCGAACATATTTTGGAATTTCTTACACCAAAACTTTTTACGCGGAAAATTTTAGCACACATTTTACGGTGTACTTATTATACTCGAGTTAATTATTTTAATTCGAGTATAATATCATTTTAATTAACTCATTTAATTTGTTTTCAACGATTAACAATGACATTTTGTTACTTTTTACTAAAAATTAACAACTTATTTTCACGATATATTATTAATGTTTTCTAGCTTCCGATCTGCATTTGAACATTATTCTGATAGGTATTCACGTTTTTTTCAAAATGAGCTATTAATACTTTTTATACAACGTAAAGGTTGTATAAAAAGTATTGTAGTAAAAAGTAAAAAGTATAAAAAGCTCGAAGATGACAAGCAACAACACAAAACAGTTATATTAACCCAAAAAACATTGATAATGTAAGGGATGACTAAGAGGAGACAGAAAATTGTTATATCAGTTGTGTAGATAATCTAAGTATATAAAATTACTTGTCCTCACTGACTGACTGAATGACTGACTGACTGACTGACTGAATGACTGATTCATCATCGCCCAGAGCAAACCGCTGAACCTAGAGGTGAAATTTGGTACACAGTTAGGGTACGTCATGAAAACGTACACTAAGAAGGGATTTTTCGAAATTCCCCCGCGGGGTGGAGAGGATTAACGCTTAACCGGAAGAACGGCTTCTACTGTACTATTTTAGATACGATTTTTTGTTTATTACGTTTAGTCTTCATTGAGTACTTAGGTGTATTAAATTGATAACATTTCAGACATTGTTATAAATATTTTTATCTATTTCGATTTTAAAAATGTTCGAACCGTTTTAAATTCGGATTTGTTATTGCATATTGGTTCGATTATAGAACGATTGTAAACGTTCCAGAAAATTGATCAAATTGAAAACAGTTCGTTTCATTCTCGGCAATTCTCTTCAGCGGTAGGTGTTATATAACAATTACTATGATTATTGAAATATTGAATGTAAATGGGATTTGATTGTAAAACCTCCGCGGACGAAGTCGCGGGTAACAGCTAGTACATTATAATTAACTACCATCTAAAGACAAATAGTTACAATTATATCCTTGTTTCGTTTTAAACATATCAATTATTTTCATAAAAATAAAAAGAAAATTTCTGTATCTTCATCGCCATCCCTTACATCGCCAATGTTTTGGGGTTGATATTAATTTGAAGTGGAATAATGGCTGGTTCGAAATAATCCGATTCCACTGTATAAAAATGTAAATTTCAAACGGAGTAAGGCACCATCTGGTGACATTTCTGAAAACTAAAACGTGAAAATTTGATCGAATATAATCAATGGTACTGTACAATGAGATAAAATCTATAGGCTTGTTTCTTGTGTCAACCTGTTTTTATTTATTCTAAACGATTTCTGCTATAGCGTTTTTGTATCCTCTGGTCTTCCGGTTTTGTCGTCTTTCATTAATAGAAATAACTCTTGCAGAGAGACTAATGAATACGTAGTTGATAATGCTGTTTACTAACGGATAAACAAAGCGTTATTTGAGAAACAATATAGACCGAAAATAATGACATAAGACAACCGAACATATCTGGTTAGCTACACGAAAACGTACCTTATGTTAACGTAGCGTGTAATTATGGTATCATTGTATGGAATCCTTGCTTGCGAGATAGTTTATAGGCCATTAGAACTCCGATTGTGAGTTGTCTATTCTCTTTGTAATGAGTTTTTCCCTTCTTAATTTTTCATTTTCAATAGATTTAATTTTTAAATCTGAAACACAAGAAAATCGTATTCATATTTTGTCTTATCTGTGACTATTGTTTTCTATTGTAAACTTTTAAATTAATGATTTTAATTTTTTAAAGTTTTATTATTTTGTAGACGAATATTTAAAACAATTGATTTTAATAAGCGTATAGATTTTTACAATAATTTTTATAAAAATTTAACGAAAATGAATTATAACCTTAGAATAAACAAAAATACATATTAAAAGTTAAATAATTTTTAAGAGTAATGGAACTAATAATCAATTTGAATAAAATTAATGATTACTCTGAAGTAAATTAGTTAATTTAAGCGTATAAGAAAATGAATGTTTTCCTACAAGACGAAAGAAAGTGATTTTTTCCATCCTGTAGACAATAAGCGGCCTTTTAATCGCACCCATCGTGGATTCAGTTAGGCCTACGATGCAGGTGGCTGGGTGGGGAAGAACGGTATCCGATATGTCGAGTAAGGAACACATCAATAAAATAGTATTATAAAATATGTTTGCTCGCCCGGATTCGGGCCCGAGTTTCCCAGAGAACTAGACTCGGCCTTCCGACCGTCGATAGTGTTATATTAGCTATTTGGATTGTCTTTTTCCTCACATCTGAGCTATACAACGAATAATAGAGTTTGCAAAGTTTTTGATACATTTTATAATTTAAAAATAAAATATCGATGTTTATTCAAATAATAATTCCGCGATTAAATATTTATACAAATTTTCTATAAAAGGCTGATTTTTTTCTTGCTTTTATTTTACATCAGAAAACGTTATTTGAATTTTACAACCCGAGTGTCAAAATGCGAAAATTCGTTGATTTCGTTAAAGGCGAGACAGTTTATTAAGTATCGAAATGTAAAGATATATTCTGTTAGAGTCAAGACCTTCTCCATTTTTTCTAGACACAAATAAGCTTCAAATATGAAAACTTGCAATATCTATTTTAATTCTTTAAATTCTCATATAAATTAGGAATAAAATGAGCATAGTATCTGGACGATCGTATGGTCGATCGGTCGAAAAATTCCATAATCGGAATTTTTCTGAGGTCGTTCGTCCAGATATGTCCCGTCCTACACCACCCAGCCACCTATTATGGACCTGACTGAACCCATAATGAATTTGTTTAAAAAGGCCCTCTTAGTGTGCACAGGGCGAAAAGTTTAAAAAAAAAAAAAACTTCTTATCTATAGTCGCCACTTTCTATAGAACACTTTTAACTTTTCAACATATAAATCCCTTAATTTTAAATATTTAATTGTTCCATAAAAATGTTAAAGAGAAAATTAATAATATACAAAAAATAAATATTAAATTAGAGAAAAAGTTATTAAATCGTTTAAATAATATGGTCCTTTTCTTAACTGTGTGTCTTTAGAAAACTGTACATGACATGAGATAATGCAAAAATATTACTGTTCAAGATCAGATGATAATGATATCAAGTGGGGCTGTGAAAGGAAATGATTAATAAAGATGCTGATGCATAAAAAGATGGTTTAGGAAGAAATAGGAGTAGATTGATAAAAGTGTAGGAAAGTTGTAGAGAAGAAATCAATTGAGGATTTTATTTGGTCAAGAAAAGATAAGAAAAGAAAAATAAATGAATATGGGAATGTAGACGTTTAGAAATTAAAGAAGGAATTTAAAACTTCGTTGTAAAAGAATAAAAATTTTAAAAACAGTTTGATGAAGTTATATAACTATCCGTTAATACATTACGTAATTTTCAAGATTTTCATATATTAATTATTATTATTATTATTATTAATTCTTTCACTCATTGTTTGGAATATTTAGTAATGGTTACAAGAAAGTTATTTGTAAGAACTGTATTTAAATGTTAGTCCACATTATGAAATTCGATTTAATATCAAGTCTAAATAAATCAGCAACGAGTTGCTCAACTTTTGTAAACTTTAAAACTTTAGTGGCGCTATCTGTTATAATATTTTATTTAAAAACTTTTTATATTTTTAATTATTGTGAAATGGCAAAAAGCTTAATTTTGAGGGTAGGGATGGATTTTATAAAAAAAAATTGTAAATGCTAACAAGAAGTAAAAGTGCCATTAAGTCCGACCCTAGTGGAGATAAACACGACCCTCATTATCTCCCCACCCCCGTCGACTTTTAACTACCAAAATGTAAGAGCATCTACCCCCTCTAATACACAAACCTTTCTGCAAAATTTCAGACATTTTCGACAAAAAGCACATGAGTTATTAAGCTTCAAAGAGGGTGAACAAAATTGTGCCCTCCCACACACTAACATCCGTATATACAGGAATTACCCCGATTTTTTTTTTTTGCATTTGTCGACGTTTCAAGATGTCCTAAGTCAAAACTGAAAAAAAATCTTGGGGGATCATTTTTTGACCGATCGCCTCTGTTATATATTACAGCCGGGAAAGTAAAAATGAAATCTGATGTAGAATTATTTTTATCAAAATGTTTATATTAATTTCCTCCTTCAAAATTTTAGAGTACAGCAATTCTATTAATAACTAGCAGGTGAGCCCAGCGTTGCTCGGGCGAAAAGTAACGATAGCGAAGAATAAGATTACAGTATTAGATTATAGCCGATCTTGCCCGTTTTCACCGGGTGCAAGAATTAGGTCCCCCTATTCCCAGATTAATTAGAGAATTTTTATATGAGTCTAAAAATATGTTTCATTTCCCGCAAAGACGCAAAAAAACCGCATCTAAAATAGTACAGTAAAAACGAGTTCTTCAGTATAATCCTTAACTCTCTCCCTATCCCTTCGCAGGGGAGAATTTCCAAAAATCCCTTCTTTTAGTGTGCATTTGCATGACGTACTCTGTGTACCAAATTTCAACTTTCAACTCCTAACCGTTTGGGCTCTGCGCTTATTGTAAGTTTAGGTTATAATTATAAGTTTAGGTTGTAATTAATGAATATTTTCTTGTTAGTCTATATTTACAATCATTTTAGATATATTTCTCGTTTATTTCGATGTTTTTATAGGTATATTATTCATGAATAAATTACTAGAAAAATATTTATGCTTGATATTTAACTTTTAACTCGAATTAACTTTATTTTTTAATTACTTTAACAAAGGAAAAGAAATAATAATAATAATAATAAACAATTATAAATAAACTAACCAAACTGAATAACTGTAAAATAGATTAGATCTTTTAAATAAACTTAATTTTATATTTATTTTATGATTTTATGACAGAGATAATAAAAAAAAGACTAGTTCACGTAAGATTATATCCAAGTTAACTTTTTATAGTTAAAACTCGTATTTTACGCGCAGAATTACAATTTTTATTAAATCAGTACATGAATCGTTTTATAGAATCTTATTAAATTATTTTTTCATTTTTATTTTACATCAGTGTTTTAATTACATTAAAGTTATTATTACTTGTATATCTGCATCAAAGTAACGATTTTAAACTTATTAAAAAGATGATGTAGAAATAAAAATACATAAAAAATTAATACAGCTAATAAAATATTTTTAGTGAAAATTAATAGCAGCAAAAGACAAAGTCACACGTCTAGAGTCTAGACCCAATAGAAGTGGATGACCTCAGATAGCAGACTACATTGCTGTATAAACAAAACAATAACTGGATAGACCTGTATTCTTTAACGAAGCTCATATACAAATAAGAAAACTGTAAAATGGGACAAAATAATATTAAAAATACAAATTTTTCTTTATATATTATGTAGATATAATATGAATTTGTATTTTATGAACTTTGTATACGAATCATATTCTAGAAACGTTATATAGGCCTATATACATTTATAATAAATACATAATAGAAGACAGTTTACCTGAAATCTATATTCTATCTTTAGAAACTGTTTTAATATATTTCACGAAACGAAAAAAATTTCAGAATATAAGAAATCAGTATTTACTTCTTTAGCTGCACAATTCAGCACTTAGAGATATTGGGTACAAAAGTTATTCGTCTCCTTAATCATAGGTTAATTGTTAAATCAGCTCCTGGATGTTTAAATGCCAAGTATCAGGTACCTTTTGTAAAGACAACTATCAATATTTTTTGTATGTAATTGTTATTATTTACAGAAAAAAACAAAAAATCTTTATTAAGCAATACGCTGAATATAATATATCGATATTCATACGAAATATGTTTATGGGTATATAAAAAAAATATATATTAAATATTCATAAACTGAAAAAGCTTTTAATTCGTTTAGTTTCAACATAATTAATAACATGCTTATAAATCCAATATAATTTATTTAAAGGAACTTACAATTTTTGTTGCAGTCCTCATATAGTCATTCTAATACATAAATATAAATAAATATATTTAAAATAATTGGTTCATATTTGTAAAATTCTTTTTAAAGTTTATTATTCTTGTTAAAATGCATTCATTTATTCCAGATTTATTAAAATTACAAATTACTAATAAAAGTTTTCTATACTCAGCATAGGCCTATTAAATTCAGTAAACTTTTTTATATTAAATTAAATTTTTAATGTTGAAAAAATAAATGTTAATCTTCTATTATTTTCCTTTGTCAATTTGTCAGATTTTTTAATAAATAAAAATGCTAGTGTTCATACAATAATTAGAAGAGAACGTTATCGGCGAATTTTTCTGTCAGGGAGAAACTGTTCGACTTGATTCGATTTGCAATTTACTAAAATCGTTTAAAAATAGAATTCATAATTTTCACAGAGCGAATTTTTCAGGAAGAAATATCGACTATCTCTGGATTTAATACTGAAAAGAAACCTATCGGTGTTATTCTTAGCTATTACAGGGCGTCACTAAAAGAATCTTCAGATTTCAAATGATTATAGTTCTCTTTCCAGTAACTGTTCATTTACATGGTAACATCATTGGAAACAGAAACTCCAAGTTTCAGGTAAATGGCTTTAGAAAGTGAATTTTCCAGATTTAGTGCTCCCACACCGTTGGATTGGAAGCAGTGGATCCAATATTCTCATCCTAAGTGAACGGATATCATATCGTGCGATTACTCTCTTTCGGGTATGTTAAAGAATTTTAAATGTGGAAATTTCTAAAATTCCACAATTTTAAACTTGTAAACACAACACCCTGTGCTCTGACGGATATCGAAGTCCCTATTTTGTGTGTATATAATTTTGTATACAGGCTACATACAAAATTATCACGTTTAACTCAAAGATCTTCGAAACAAAGACGACTATTACTTTATAACAATGACATTATAATTTCATAACGTTATTTATCTTAACATTTGTTTGACTTCAGACTTGTAAAAACATGAACTGACGCAGTCTCGTAGCTAGAAATAAATATTCGGGATTACATGAGTAAGCTGAAAAAAATTGTGACTGGTATTTTTATTTTTCAGCCTGCGCTAGGCCCATTATCTACAGCCCAAGGTAAACTAATAGTAGCCTAAGTTTACATGACGAAAGCGAATGTGTATAGGCTATTATAGGCCTATATAGACTACCGTGTACAGGCAATGCCCAACTAAGTCGGTGGCTTAGTCCTCCGTAGCTACGGCTCTAAACTAACGAGTCATTTGTAGCATATGTATAACGAGTATGAGATGATGTAAGTTATATTATAGTCATAAAAGTTGCACCAATCATTTTACTGTGGCTGTAATAGATTATGTATTAATAGCCATAGTAAACTAAATAAGCTATATGATACACATTTACTATTTGCTATCTTTTAATGTTCTTATATAAATTTAAGTACAAAAACTACATTTTTAAAGATTATTATTTTTTAAATATGACATATTGTGTTAATAAAGCATGTACGATACCGATTAACGTAAAACGTGACATCACCAGGATCGTTTCCCATCTCCCTCGCTTTATCACATTTTCTGAATTCCCCCCATGAGGCGTGACAACACATTTACGGACAACCCGCGTGTACGTGCCACCGATGCTCACAAACTTGCAAGAGCTTAAAACGCACATTGTGAATACTGTCAGTACATTGGATGTAACATGTCACAGGACATGCTACACCGAATGGACTCCGACTAGATGTGTGAGATAAGGAAGCTCACATAGAGGGATCATTTGAAATCCATGATTCTTTTTACACATACTGTATCTAGTAATTAGTAAATTAAAATGATTTAGTGTTCATAACGTTCCAAATTATTTTTGCTTACTAAACATATTGACATTTAGATATTAGGCTAATAATAGTGCTTTACATAAGTTATTTTAATCGTTGATTGCCGCAATCGTTTTTATTGTAAAATGATTCAATACGACGTTGCTGATGCTAGAACATCAAAAAGAAATAATGCCGAGTATAATGATCGGAGAAATCACCAATGACGTAATCAGCAAAACTAAATGGATCGTTTAACTGAGCATCAAGAATCAGTTAGGTACTTTCATTATTAATCACAATTAAGTTGCTTGTCGCCTAGAGGCGCTCTATATGTGTTATCCCCAGTATCTGTTACATTAGTTTCAAGGTGATGTCATAAAGTAAAATTCCTACTAATATTTAATTTGATAAAAAAAAAAATTATAACTTATGAGGTTATGACGTCAGGTATGACAACATAATTGACGTCGTATTTAGTACCATGAACGATAACAAATTACGATAAAAGTCACTAAATACAATATCAAAATTTCCATTACGCACAGAAGAAAAGACAAAAAATGAAAAATCAGACAACTGTCTCTGGATTTAAATTGCTAATAGCCAATAACATGTGATGTTTTAGTTACAATATGTGTCTGCTGTGTATACGCAAACGCAAATAAAAGGTTATACATATAATCACACAAATATTGTATTATTTATAATATACGTTTCAATATAATTTCATAATTTTTTTTATTTATATTGCAATGAGATGATAATGCATTGAGTTTATGAGAATAAATCAATGTAGTAATTTTAAAATGATCATTCATTTACAAGCTTATTAGTATTAATTATGAATTTACCATAATTTTGCTATGATATAACAATATTTATGTAGTTTTTAGGTAGTGATCCAGGAATCTACAGTGAAAAGGTTTTATCTAACTCAAAGATAATCACAGCAATTTCACTTAGAAATAAAAAAATATGTCTAAATTTTAGTTTTATAAATTAAAATACATGAATAATTCCATGTATTTTAATTTCATGCATATTTGATGTTTTTTAATTTTATAGCTACAAAATAATTATTTTTTAAATGAATTTATTAATAGGCGTTTAAAAAATAATTTTATAGCAAAAATTATAACTTATTCATAACTTTCATAATTCTAACAAAAAGAGAAAATTTAGCAACTATTTTGTACTGAATAAATGAAATAAACTAAAAAGTATTATTATTATTAGTCAAATGTTTTTAAAATTTCAAAAAGAAATATAATTTTAAACAAAGAAATTACTGTACATATAGAATATTTATCATTAATGATTTTAAATATATATTGCATGATAACATGTTGAGTTTTATCTATTATTTATCATTAATTTTTTGAAAAGCATAGCAGCATTAAGTATTAACTGATATTTATAGGCCTATCTATTTTAGATTTTCATTTATGATAAGAAATTTCATAAATAATATAATTTTCAAGTGAATATTATCATCTGTTTAATGTAATGGAAAAATAAAAATCAATATTAATATGAAAAAATAATCATGACAAAAGTTTCATTAACCTTGACAAATTAAATTCAAAGAATTTAATTAAAATTTCTGAATTTATTATTTAAAAATTATTTTTGAATTTTAATTTATTAATCAATTATTGTTGTAATGAGTATAATATATTCAATACAGTATAAAATTTTTGTTTTACAGTATATTAATTTTATAATTTGTTTTATATTATTAACAGCTGATTGTACTTCGGGTGGTATCACTTATGCCCATGGATCTAGCTGGCATCCAGTTATTGGACCTTTAGGTCAAATGGACTGTGTAATTTGTAAATGTAAAGTAAGTCTATAAATCAAAATATATTATGTCCACATTTGTATTGTTAACTATTAACCATAAAAGTTTTAAACAAAATTTATAATGTATAATGATTGGTAAACAGAAATGCAAACTGCTTTCTCAAGTAGCCAAATCTTACATATAGATTTCAGGATTTGTTTAAATGGGATATTTCTTAAATTTTTCTTAGTGTGGCTTATCACCTTTTGCACTCAAGCCATTCAAATGTTTTATTATTACATTCTATCTATATATATATATATATGTACTGTATGTATGTATGTATATCTTTAAATAATATTTGTATTATGTAATATAAATGTTAAAAATATCAATAGTCTAATCAGACATTATAAAATTTAAATGAATTTAAGACTGATACAAATTTTTTAAAATACCAATGGTAATATTAATAAAGTTGTAACAATATAAGAAAAAGTAAGCAAACTACTTATTATTTAGATATGCATTATCAGAACTCCAAAATAGTAATTTAATGACTATCTAAGTTAATTGTTTATTGTTTATATCTCACTACTTTCATTTTTTAGATCAAACAGAACTTATTATTCATCTATTTGCTAACGATTTCTGACAAATGAAATTAATCATTTGTATTATCAATCAATATTGTCAGTTTTGTAACTGAATTTTTAATCAGCAAATACAGAATCATAAAATTTCAACAATTTTACTTCTAAATTATATATCAATTATATTCAGTTATTCTCATCTGATAATTATTTTTCATGTTGTTAATTATAAAACCTGATAATCCTAATGATATAAATGTTCAATTTAGAGTGGCAGAATAGAATGTGGTCGTTTAAGCTGTCCTCAACCACCATCTTGTGTAAAACTTCAGCCAGTACAAGGTCAATGCTGTCCGATTTGTATTGATAAAAGTAAATATTTTTTCAATATTAAATATTATAATTAAAAACATAGAAAAGCAATTCAAATTTGAATAAAAAGAAATTTTTAGTTTCAGTTGTTGATCATGAAACAGCAGTAACAGAATCCAAAACAGAAGAAACAAAAGAGGTTGTTGAATCATTCATGTGTCTTCCACGACCATCAAATACCATTGTTTATAGAAGTCATGCATCAAGTAGTATAAGTGGATATTATCAGTATGCATTTCAGATTATTGGCACTAATAAAAATACTAGATTGTTATCTTGGACAGTAAAAGATGGTAAGAACAATCTATTAATTTTGAGTATTTTTATTAAATCAATAGTTATCAATAAAAAATAAAAAAAACTCTCTTGCTTTGTTAATGGTACATTTTCATTCATATGTACAGTATTTATCAGTATTAATTGAAAAAACTTTTAATCAGAGAGATTAGATAATTCTCTTTTTGTTATACTTTATTACTTTTATAATTCAAACCTTATTGATATTAAGTAAGTGTTTTTATTTTTGCTGAAATCAATATTTGAACTAAATTGCTTGGTTTATTGATTCATTTATGAATTCAATAGATACAATAACCCAATGGGTTTGTTACTTTTAAATGATAATTTAGACTATAATGTACATATGCTGACCACATAATTTATGTTCTAATGAGAAGCATTTCAGTGAAAAGGGAGTCTAAAACTGATAAAACTTTGGTTATTTTAAAAATTCATTTACCATACTAGAATTCCAATTTCAAACTTACAATCTTCACATATTCAATCTTTTTGAAACAAAGATTTAAAAAGTCATATTACACTCTTGTAATTCTTGAGTTATTTTTCAATAATTCATATTTTATTGATACAATAGCTAAAGATCCTATAAGATTATTCTGTCTATCTAATCTGTATATACAGGATGATTTTGAAATAGTGGGACAAACTTCAGGGAATGATTCCTCGCAGGAAAATAAAGAAAGAAAAGCATATAAACTTATCTCCAGAAATGAGAGGTTTTTTGAGAAATTGAATTTCTTAGGGCTGTCCATAAATAATGTCTACACTGGAAGGGAGGGAGGGGGTTATGACAAGCAAAACAAGGGGGAAGGTTGAACTTCAGTGGATGTCTGTTTTATTTCATTAAATTTTATACAGTATCATTGTATGAATAATAAAATGCATAAAGGTTTGGAAGGAAACTGAGTTTTATTGGATATCTGAAAAGGGAAGGGGTTATGGAAACTTGGACAAACTGGGACAAGAATAAAAATTTCAAGAAAAATGCAGACATAATTTATGGACAACCCCTTATGACAGTGTTAGGTGCAAGACAGATTTATTGCATACTCTCTTATTAATTCTTTTACATAACTGACTCAATTACATTGCTTCCTTCATAAGAAATGTTTAAAAAGCTCTCCATATGTGACATCAGAGCATGGATGATTGCACTCTTTTCAAAGTTCCATTAACCCCTGTGAATGATGGTGAAGCAACGAAAATGTGTTGCAGCAACATGTCTGTATTGTCAATGGGACCGGCCAGCATATTCTATCATCTTTAGATAGCCTCATAGATAGAAATCTAAATGATTTATATTAGGGGAACATGGAGACCACATTGCTAAACAACTTTACTTATCCACTTGTGCAGATAAGTATGGTTTAATACAGCATGCGCACATTGATTAAAGTGAGCTTCTTGCTTTAGTCAATGTACATCACTTTAGACAAGAGCATTAATAACAGAATTATGTAATAAAATCTGTCTTGTACCTAACACTGTCATAAGAGATATGATTTCTCAAAAACCTCTCATTTCTAGACATATGTTTATATGCCTTTTTTTTCTACGTTTTCCTGTGAGGAATCATCCCCTAAAGTTTGTCTTACTATTTCAGAATCATCCTGTATAAAAATACTTAACTTAAAATTGTCCTGAATGTTTTCTGTCATGAAAAAAAAAGAAATAAGCACATAATTTTTGTTGTGAATAGTCTATATTGGGAACAATGGTGTAAAGCCTGTGTGGTAGTGAGTGAAGCAAGCAAGATGTTGGGACACCTATGATGGCCAAGGAAAAAAATAGAAATGACAACACTGGTAACAATGACTTGTCTCAAAATTTTTATGAATAATCTATATTTCAAGTAAGGGTAAAAGCCCATGGGACAAGTGAGTGGGGAGTAAAGCTCCCTACTAAGACTTAATTTATGTAAAAGTTTTATATGTTTTATGCAAAATAACATTTCTAATAGTATTATTTTAGTTATGAAAACATATGAAATAAGTTTATTATATTTTATATATCAGACTGTTATATAACAAATATTGCTCTTTTTAGTATATTTATTATTTTTCTTAAGTTAATTTCATGAAAACTACAAATCTTTTGTCATGTAAATAAGAATAATAAAAATTTGGATAACATGGAATAATGTTTGGTAAATTATTAAATAAATAAAATTTTTTAACAGGTCAAATTGGAGATTTCTCTGAACAGCATTTATCAAAGGATGAATTTGTTATTCTTACACATACATTTAAATTTAAACTGTTAGGAGCAACAAGATCAAGTAAGTATGTGAATTAAATTTAATACAGAAATATATTGAAGAGAAAAATATATCAAAGTTTATTTTTTAACTCTTGTGATTTCAACAGAGAGTTAATTGAGATGATATAAATATAAATTAAAAGTTGAACTATGCAATATTAAAATATTACAAAACAGTTTTCATTACAATTTTAATTTTAACAAAAAATATTTTTCAATCTGATTTATAAAATATAATTAATAATTGAAGTTAATCCAAGTACTTGAACTGAGTATACATAAATAAAACACTACACTTATAACCAAAATCCATCAAGGAAAACTACAAGAAAGCAAATATTTTCATTTGTGTGTTAATGGGGCATAGCCAGTCTGACAATGCCCATTAAACATGGATGAAAACGTTTGCTTTCTTGTAGTTTTCTTGCTGGATTTTGTATTATACTTGTAGTGTTTTATTCAAGTTAATGTTTTTTTATCTTAATAATTGGAATAAAAATAAGCAAATATATTATTTGCTTTTTCCTTATAGTACCTTTGATGATAAAATTTAATAGCAAACATAAAAATATAATAGAAACGATTTTTATATTGCTTTATTTGTACAAGAGGTACTGTATATCTGTCTGCATATAATATAGCATCAATCATCATTAATAGCATCAATAACATTAATAGCATCAATAGCATCAACAATAACTTCAATTATTAATTATATTTTATAAATCAGATTGAAAAATATCTTTTGTTAAAATTAAAATTGTAATGAAAACTGTTTTGTAATATTTTAATATTGCATAGTTCAACTTTTAATTTACATTTATATCATATCAATTAACTCTCTGTTGAAATCACAAGAATTAAAAAATAATACACAAATCTGCCTGAAAAATTTCAGAAAGTTTCGACAAAAAACACAGGAATTATTAGCTTCGAAGAGGGTGAACAAAATCATGCTCCCCCACACAAACTAAATTTTTTCAATATTAAATATTATAATTAAAAACATAGAAAAGCAATTCAAATTTGAATAAAAAGAAATTTTTAGTTTCAGTTGTTGATCATGAAANTAAAATTTAATAGCAAACATAAAAATATAATAGAAACGATTTTTATATTGCTTTATTTGTACAAGAGGTACTGTATATCTGTCTGCATATAATATAGCATCAATCATCATTAATAGCATCAATAACATTAATAGCATCAATAGCATCAACAATAACTTCAATTATTAATTATATTTTATAAATCAGATTGAAAAATATCTTTTGTTAAAATTAAAATTGTAATGAAAACTGTTTTGTAATATTTTAATATTGCATAGTTCAACTTTTAATTTACATTTATATCATATCAATTAACTCTCTGTTGAAATCACAAGAATTAAAAAATAATACACAAATCTGCCTGAAAAATTTCAGAAAGTTTCGACAAAAAACACAGGAATTATTAGCTTCGAAGAGGGTGAACAAAATCATGCTCCCCCACACAAACTAACATCCATACATACAGAAAAAATAAAATAATTTTTTTTACATTTCTGGATGCTTCAAGGTCCCCCGAGTCTAAAATTATAAAAAGTCTTGGGGGATATTTTTTGACTGATCGCCATGCTTTCCTTCTGTTATTTATAACAGGCGAAAAAAATAAAAATAAAGCGAAAAGGTAATATCTTTAAATTCGATTTCGTTAATTGCCATTTTGAATTAAATTTAATAACTATTAAATTAATTATTATAAATAGTTATTAGTAATATTGTAAATATTAGTATAAGGTAGCAGTCTAACTTCCTACCTTTAAAAAAGTTATTATACAATGGTGCTTTGTAGTTTGAATTTAATTTATTTCAGGAGTCCGTTCGAACTCTAAATCGTTCAAAGTCCGAATCAATTTTTTCCATTAGAAATAATGGAAATACTTCGTTTTCAGACCTAAACAATATCTAATTCGATAAACTTAAAATAGCAAATACACCAAATAACTAAATACATCAAAAAATAATAAAAAACAAGCAATGAAAACATACGAGCGTAACACGAGAGCGAGAGACGAATTGGGCACACAACAGATTGCCTTTATGCTTTCAGTTCATTTTTTCGCTGTGCACGCAGTTCAAACTTTGAAGCATCGAATTTTTGTCAAATTTAGCCTTCGAACTCTGAAGCGTTCGAACTACGAGGTACCAGTGTATTAATTATCATAGTTAATCAAAGTATAATCAGAATAATCCAAAAATTAATATGATTATTATAGAATGTTTGGACATGGTTATTTATGTATATCTACAATGGTTTATTAACAGAAATGAAACAGAAAAAACAATATTATAATGCTTGAGATGGCTACTTCTAAACTGCATAATGGTAATTATTAGTGATGTAACGAATATTCGGTTACTACTCGGTATTTGTCCTATTCGGCCTATTTTCGCTATTCGGCCGAATACCGAATACCTAAAAACAGGAATAAGAAATAACAAAAACACAGTAAATTAATCATTTTGGTATTTAGATTTAATGTTATCGCGTTAGTGTTGTTTGTTTATATTTATTTATAACTTATAACATGCACAAAATAAAAACAATAATAATATTAGTCACAAGTATTCACAATTTATAATTATAAAGATCAGCACACGTACACAACTATTCGTTCGAGAATCGTCGCACATATCAGGGTCTGACCCTGCTTATCCTTCTTCTTAAGCGCTCGTCTTTGCTCTTCCCTTTCTCTTTCCTATATCTCTCTAGTCTACCTATGCCTATGCATACATCATAATAGGCGCTCATGATACTTTCGATTCGTCACTTTTCCGTCATAGTTTTTCCATTTTATAATTACGTGACTCATAGCCTGGTGATAACGGAGAAAAGAGACAGATAGGACGTCGGTATAAGTCACAGTTATGATTTCACAGATTCGAAACAGCTTGGTAGCCCGAACGATCCCAAGCTTTCGCCCGTGCACGCTAAGTGACTTTCATTACAAGCATTTAGCTTTCCGAAGTCTATGACAATAATTGTTTGGCATTGAGGGCCGCAAATTTCGCGCCAATAAGCTGCTTCGATTTGTTCGATTATGTTATCTACTCAATTTCATATTTATTTTCACATTTTCACTTCGCGGTCCTTCTCTGTTCTTTATCCGTTATTTACACGTGGTCATTTCACTGTTATCCACATTTGATATCATCATTTATCACATACTGCCATGACGCTCTTGTCTGTCCGCTACAACTGTCAAGAATTAACGCGATTGGCGAAGCGTAGTGACAACGGGCCAATAGAGATCAGGGTCCTTACCATAATGCGGTTTGCGCGCCAATTTTCGTACGTGCGTTAATCGAGCGGAATAGTTTGGCCGAATATTCGGCTATTCGGCCACGCTCCTGGCCGAATATAGGCCTACTATTCGTTGCAACACTAGTAATTATAATGCTTTAGACGGCTGCACTAGGGTACGGGTAGGCTGGTTATACAAAAAGTTGTTTTTTTTTTTTTCGTTCTTGCAATTTTCTGTGGGACAGTCTGTCACGGATTTTTCGCACAAAATTACGGTAAAATAAATTTTATGTTTTTAAACTTAAGATACTTAATTTAAGTAAGTAATAATAATTACAAAATATAGTAATGAATTTGATTGAGATGTTATTTGTGATTTAAAAAACTGACATATATGCTATGTATTTATGTTTTTGATGGACCTTAAAAAATAGTACAAAACTACTGGTTTCTACCAAAGAAGTTTGGAAAACTCTATTAGAATTATTATTATTAAACAGTATTATTGTTGTAAATTCTTATTGGGCTTCAAGTTTCAAATCGTCCTGTCCCTGTACATCATACTTTTCCTGTTAACAAGGGTCATGCCGATCATCTAACTCCATTCTGGAAGAAAATTTTTGAATTGAAATAACGTTAATCGGGACCTTCTGCCTCCAAGCTTTCTATATCTGGTCTCGAATTTCATCTAACAACAACATACAACAACAGCCAATTTTCAAATTGCAGACCTATAAATTTACACTGGCATCCGTCTGTTGTTGTCTGCCCTTCATTAATCTCGAGAACGGAGTTAGATAGATGAAAGTCGAGACCAGATATAGAAAGCTTGGAGGCAGAAGGTCCCGATTAATGTTATTTCAATTTAAAAGTTTTTTCCAGAACGGAGTTAGATAGCTGATTGGCATGACTCTATTGTTAACAGGAAAAGTATGATGTACAGGTGCAAGACACTACTAAAATCTAGAGCATTTATTTTTAATTAAACAATAACATTAATAGCATCAATAGCATCAATAGTAACTTCAATTATTAATTATATTTTATAAATCAGATTGAAAAATATCTTTTGTTAAAATTAAAATTGTAATGAAAACTGTTTTGTAATATTTTAANAATATATTAATATTCTATTTCAATTTTTGAAAGAATTATATATATATATGGTTATTCATAAATTATTATTTAAAATATAACACACTTAAATTAGTTTATAATTTTAGATATTAAAAAAATTAATTTAAATTATTTAAATATTTTGAATTATCTCTGAATCAATTAAATGTATATAGAATAATAGATATTACTTTTTTGTAAAGGATTTATGGAAAAATTTATTAGAAAAGCTAAGAAACTACCAGACAAATGTGGATCCAGATGTTCAGCAAAAATAAACAGATTGGAAAGGGTTCTTCATCTTAAAGAATTTCTAGAAAGACATCAATGTCTACCAACTGAAATAAAGTTTGAATAGAACAAATTTTTTTGGTTAGATTACTAAGAATAATGTTTATTTATAGAAAATTTTTCTGTACAAATAATTTGTCTTTGATATGATACATATAACATGCAATTAGCACATATTATAGAAAACTTGTGTTAATGATGCATACAAGTATCATATATTGTGATAAACAATGATTTATATATTTTTGCAATAAGTTTTAATGCCAAAAACATATACTTAATTATTACTTTTATGAAAATAAATTATAAATATTGATATTATAGTGTACTATTGATGCTCTCCTATTTAGGACTAGATCTTATTCTGAATATCTACTTATAATTTGAAAAAATCTCTTTAAATCTATAATGTTAAGTGTCCAGTATACAGGAAACTTTCCATTACTAATATTATTTATTAATTCATTACTGATATAATGTAGGTTAAGTAAATGCATACATTCTGAACCATAATTCTCATATTGCATTTCCACACTATTCAAAACATTAATACACATTATTTTCAACTCAAAAAATATTACATTAGAGGTCATGAAAGATTAGTCATTAATCCTGCCTGATAATCATATGTTGGTTGTAAGTAGGAAGCATCCATTGTAATTATAATATTAACATAATCTGTAACCAATATTGATTACTAATTATGCAATATGTTTTTTAAAGTAATTAATTTTCTTCTGGATAAAGAAAAAATTAATGTTCAATAGATACAATAACCCAATGGGTTTGTTACTTTTAAATGATAATTTAGACTATAATGTACATATGCTGACCACATAATTTATGTTCTAATGAGAAGCATTTCAGTGAAAAGGGAGTCTAAAACTGATAAAACTTTGGTTATTTTAAAAATTCATTTACCATACTAGAATTCCAATTTCAAACTTACAATCTTCACATATTCAATCTTTTTGAAACAAAGATTTAAAAAGTCATATTACACTCTTGTAATTCTTGAGTTATTTTTCAATAATTCATATTTTATTGATACAATAGCTAAAGATCCTATAAGATTATTCTGTCTATCTAATCTGTATATACAGGATGATTTTGAAATAGTGGGACAAACTTCAGGGAATGATTCCTCGCAGGAAAATAAAGAAAGAAAAGCATATAAACTTATCTCCAGAAATGAGAGGTTTTTTGAGAAATTGAATTTCTTAGGGCTGTCCATAAATAATGTCTACACTGGAAGGGAGGGAGGGGGNTAATTTTTTTTTTTTTTTGCTAAAGAATGTTTTTCATTATTTGTATTAGGTTATTCTTATTCAAAAGCATTTTGATAAATAGTGATTGACAGAAAATTTAATTTTTTACATTCTTTTTGATGTATTTAGAGTATTTGATAAGTTTGTTAACTTCATAAGAATGTTAAAAAAAGTTTTAAGAAAATTATGTAAATATAATTCATTTACCAAATAACAACATACAAACAATCAATATCAATTGCAAAAGACAGTACAATACTTAAAACCCAATCTATCAACTCATAATTATTCATCAACTATTTTCATTTATTTTAAGAAATATAACTTACATAAAAGATTATTTATAAAGTAAAAGCCAAATACTAGTCATTATATTTTTCAATTCAATAAAATTAACTAATATTAATTTCTAATAATAACATACATTTATTTATTTTATTAGAAGTTATAGGAAATGCATAAATTGTGTGTTAAAGAATTTAATTGTACTCTAAAATGACTAAAAAATATATTAATTTCTTTTTTTTAAATTGACTTTCTTCATTTACATTCCAAAATAATTTAAATTTAATAAACTTATAAATTTAAAATGTAATTATTTTTATTCAAAATAGCATCTTCACTTTTGAAAAATATATTATAAAATTATAGGAATATTTTTGACTCTAAAAAAATAAATAATCTTTAAAAAAATAAATTGTATTAATTTTATTACATTCACTAAACTTTTTACAAAATTCATTATACATTAAATTCCATGTAAATATAGTAGTATTGGAATAATGGAAATACTTTATAAATAGTGTTTTTTTCCACAAGTAATTATTTACTCAGATAAATTTTATTTTTATAGTATTTAATTTTTGTTCTTACATGAAATTACTATAAAATTAATTTCAATTAATAAATGGTAATTTGCTAACTGAAATTAATTTGATCTGATATAAACTTTGTTTTTAATTTCTAAACTGAAAATTGTATGCTGTTTTTTATACATGTATATCCTATTTTTGTTGTATGTTTTAATCTTTTCTGAAAAATAGTATTGAAATTATTTTATATTTGAATGTTTTACCATCAGTATTATTTTAAAATAACATTCAATATAAATTATTCATTTATAAAATATATCAGAGATAAAAGTAAGCTGAATATGCAGTTTTAGAAAGTATTTAAATTTTAATATGATTCTATATAATATCCATAAATGCTTATTCATATCTGAAAAATTTATCTGCAATGCATTTATATCTGGAAATATTAGATGTATGATCTTAAGAAAGTAGCATGTACCATTTATATATTAAATCGCTTGAAGTGCTTTTAATCCTAACAAAACAATTGTTAAATGTCTTGTCTGTAATATACAATAATTGGTGTAAATGTAGATCTTATTACTGTATATTGCACTGATTTCATTTAGTGAAAAAATAGTGAATGCTAGATTTTTTATATGTACACATACTTATACATATACATATACATATATATATATATATATATTTATTTATATATATTGCTCCAATTTTTATTATGAAAATATTTCATGTTTGTAAACAAAAGTTGATTCTAAAAAATACTATTGGCATATTCTGTAATTAAATAAATTTTTTACTTTTATAGGTAAAAATATTTTGAAGCAAATATTTGGTATTTGTTAAGTATGATGATCACACTATATGTCCTTCAGACAGTTTGTGTTAACAGCACAAGCAGATAGCATACTGTAAAAATACCATGTATTCCTAAATAATATCTTCTAGTTGTATTGAGACTGCAACCTTTCTTAAAATATTTGTTTTAACTGAATGAAGTATTGTATTTATTTTATATGTTTAATTATGATTGATTTTTACAGCAAAATATCTTTATCTGGAATGCTTAAATTAGCTATGAGAAAGGTAGAAAGGTTGCTGATCTCCGAAAGGAACATTGACGGCAAAATGTGATCATTTTGTTATTATATAAAATCAATACGAAAGAGAAAAGTTGGAATTGAATTAGATGATGATATTTTGTTGGTAAAATAGGAGTTTCATTCCCTATTATTACATCATATGTCTCATTCAGAAACAAAGCACTAAACAAGTGAAGTTTTTTGCAAATATTTACTTCAGTTAATCATTAAAATATTGTATTGACAAAATAAATTGACACATAACTTATTCTTCAAAGTTTTGTTAAAAGTTTTTATTTGAAAATTTTAAGGAAAAATATTCAAAAATTGAAAACGATGTTTTTGTAAAAGTGCTCCTCTGAATGAGATATTAGATTTAAACTGTAAATAATACATTGTATATATATATATATATTTTGTCAATATTTACAACATACATTTTATGTACTTAATTTAAATTTTAAATTTCTATCAAATTTTACAATTTTAAAATGTTATTATTTGAAAAAGAATGGAATGCGTTTAACATTTTAAAATGATCTAAAATTACCTCATATAAACAAATGTTGTGCCTTTGTGATGTAATAAAGGCATAACCGTGTAGAATTTGTATAGTTCTAAAATTATCACTTAGCTAAATATTTGCTTATTTATTAAATTTCTGGATCAGATGTATTGTATATAGCTAAAAATGTCTTTGCCATAAAATTTATTTTCATTACTTGTATTATAAGTTTTGTTGATGTAAACAGTGTTTGAAATTGTAATTATATAAGAAAAAAGTTAAATGCACTATGAATGGCTGGGAAGGCAATAAAATGTACACATCACCAAATGTTTTGTTTTACGTTTTTAAAATCTTTAAAAACCAATAGTGTAGTTCGTTTCATACGAAACAAACTACGCCTTCAATTTGATTTCTTAGTCTGTTTGTCATTTACACGCGTTATTAATTATCAAATTAAAATTTCTTTAATTTGATAATTTCATTAAAGTTATCAGACTTTAATGTTTATCTAGAAAATGCTAAAACAATAATTCGGCTCAAACAGAATATTTTTCCCTCGTTATAATTTAAGCTGCATACAACTGAATCCTTACAGAACTTGATGAAATTTATACAGTCGACCCCTCTATAAGATATAGATACGTTCCAATTTATTAGGAATCCGATTTCTTACAAGTCGTTCCAATCACAGCCCGACACGTGTCAAGTTTACGGACTACGGCTGATTGAAAGGTTTTCTTCCATAAAATTAATCGATTCTACACTAATCCGACTCAACATTTCCAAAATACGTATATTTTTTCGTAGTTTTATAGGAATCGTAATTATAGGGACCGTAATTATAGGGGGTCGACTGTATTTTATGCTTTTGAAATGCAAATAATGACTTTTAACATTTCTATTTATTAGAACTTGATATTATTTTCGAGTTTTTTTTTAAATGCAACGAAATTCAGATTACACGAAAAAACTTGCAAAACTAAAAATACAAATATGCCTAGATTTGTTTTAAATTAATAATTTTCATATAGGCCTATAAAAACAGGAATTCTTAGAAAATTAAACAATTTAATTCCAATCAAAGATTGGAAAATTTTATACTGAAAATAAGTATAACTTTATCCAATATTTTGAAAACTATATCATGAATAATGTAATTTGCTTTGTATAATTTCATAAAAGTTTAAAGAAAATATCCGTAATATAATACAGTAAAACTTCTAAAACCGAATGTGGCCATTTTACAGAGGACTTATAATTATTTATTAATGAAGAAGAGGAAAGTTGAAAAAATGTTACTAACTGTTTTAATATTTAGCAGTGGCGTGCCGTCATTGGAAACGGTGGATGCGCCGCTTCCCTTGTATTTTCTAAAAAATAAATACATATTAATTTTAATTATATGAAAATAATCGTACAATATTTTATTATAACCGCATTATGTATCTTATTACAAATTTCTATACTACACGTGAAAAAAAAAAAGATAAGATTGCTATTTTATATTCGAATATTAGTGGCGGAGTGGAAGCGCTTTATCGTCAGTATCCAAAAAAGCCATATTCGCGCATGCTCTTTACAAAGCACCAACCTCACCTGGTTTAGCTGGTGGAAGCCTAGGACCTTGAGTGGATGCTACACATATAACGTTCCAATTCTATCCGGGACCGGTTCTGGGCTGTTAGCCGCCTGTACGCTAGATATTTGGTCGCTCTCGCCCCATTATGTGAATCACGAGTAGATTTATAACTTAACCCAACCGATAAGAATTTACTGGTATGTTTTTATGATAGTTTTATATAGTTGACAGGCGTTTTAAAAAAATCCACTAAAATATTTGATATTTTTATTCCGCTCTTCGATTTTATATTACTCACGGATTTCAATGTTAAGAAGCATCATGTCACAACACCGTCTTAACTCTTGTTACTATATCCAGGGGCGGATCTACATAGAAACTAATAGAGCTTAAGCCCTGGGCCCACAAAAATTGAATTATCATAAATTCTTAATACTTTTTCATTAACAATGAGCATTTATCGTATAGTAAAAAATAGTTAATATTA